GCTGCTGCTTGCTTTGGCCTAGAAAACACCTTTTGTTGAACGGGTGTTGCCCAGAAAGACCAAGGAAAATGTTCAACAAAATTTGTTTTCTAGGCCTGCATGGCGAAATCTGAGACCATAATATTGGTAATTTTACAAATTTAGTAGTAGGAATAATCAAATATGAAACTATCAAATCAAAATATATATAATTTGCAGGGGTGCAAAAACTTTGGGGGGCGGGGGGGGGGGGTGCAAATCATTTCTGGGGGGTGCACCCCCCCCAGAAAATCCGTGCCTGCTTTCTTAACTGTGTTTATCCTAACCCACCCTGTCAACTTTCCCTGTGGAGGAAACAGGAGCATCTGGGGAAAACCCACGACTTTCGGCAGAGCGTTGACTCTTTTCACATGAGTCCGTAGCGAGAATCATATTTCCATGATTACTGTAAATTGTTGACTTAAATAGTTTTTAATTCTTTTTTAAGGTGCTAAGTAATCTGAAAATTGTTATTACGGTGATTTTGTACAGAATTATATTAAAAAGGTAAATTGTTCAACTGAATGTAATGCTATGTATATTTTAAAGAAATTATTAGAAATTCCAAAAGTACAGTGACCAGGGCCGGGTTAGCCCGCGTGCAGGCCCAAGGGAACTGATATCAGTTCCCTTGGGCCTGCACGCGGGCTAGGGCCGGGTCTACCATGGGAGTGCATCCCACCATAGTGGTGTCAGCTAGCAGCCCCCCCCCCCCATAGCGAAGTGCAGCACCACCCTAAAAAAATCTGCTTGACCATACATTTTCTGGTTTACGAATGACGATTAACAGCGGAACTTCTACTGTTAGCGGGTGTCGATTTCTTGAAACGATTCAGTTGATTTGCGAGCTCACCATGTAGATTTCAAATATACTGTACTACACTTTAACAAACAAACTTACTGTACTGTGCTTACGATACAAACTTTATAAACAAAGGATAATGTAAAACGTAACAGAACGGCGAACATGCAGATTCAGCCATCTCAAATAATGGTATTGTTGGGATAGCAGCGTTGCAGGCTGCAGAGGAGAGTGGGCAGTAAGGCTCCCTCATGCACCACCCCATGGAAAACCTGCACCTCTCTTGGAAGAGGAGGCTAGATGTCTGCATCTGCTGACTGCAGTTTTATACCTTTTGATCCGATTTTGATGTTGATATTTCTAGACCAATTTCAACAAACAAGTGGATCGCTTTTGCATTGATAACAATAGCTGGTGCTTCTAACAGGTACAGTACGTACAGTGGCTTTACAGTCAACTCGGCCCACTAACCAACTCGGCCCACCGTTAAAGGAACAACTCCGGCTGCTTGTAAACTGACTAATCTAACCACTAAACAAGCTAGGAGCCATGACTGCCATTCTGTCTTTGCAAATTTTGAGAGAGATTTGAATGATCAGTAATTTAGTATCAAAACGGACAGTTCAAGAATTTGAAACTTCGATAGATTCTTTAATTAAATTAAGTCAAACTGGATGTTCTCAAACTTTACTCATCTGTATGCCCAATGCAACTGCAAATGGCTGTATTGGTTTGGTGCTATCTTTTGTAAAATATTAGCTTTCCTAATATATCAAACAGTAGTTAACAATTGGGCCAAGAATGGTATGGGCCGAGTTGGTTACTGGGCCGAGTTGACCAGCTCCCGTACAGTGTATACATGACAATCAATACGTAGAACTGTTTCTGAGAAACGCCTGGGCAAAGGTTTCGATACATAAGGTCGTATCATGAGCAATGCAAATAACATTTCGGAACATATCGTAGAGTTCTCGTTTAATTCATGTTTTCCATAGGCGTACGAGACAGGGGGCAGGGAGGCAACTGCCCCCCCCCCCCATTTTGAAAAACCATGGAAACTTGGGCAAATGCTAGGAAAAATCAAGAAAATTCGGGCAGATTTATCAGAAAATATGTTAAAATCAGGTTTACTTATTTCATTACAATTCTCGATAAAAATTCGGGCAAACTTTCCCCCCGAAAAACATAAGCCCGTTCTCCTATGATGTTATCAGTTCTATCCAATAGTTTCCCAAAATAGCTTCACAATCTCGTCTCGGACCATTTTTTGCACGGTTTTGATAACCCCAACACACATTCTGAATTGTGTTGTTATTTGACTAATCTTTTTATTATTCACGCCAGATTTTCCGTCTGTTATAGGTTACATGTATATTTTGTCCGTATGTACAATTGTACATATGTGTGTGTGTGTGTGTGTGTGTGTGTGTGTGTGTGTGTGTGTCTCTGTCTGTCTGTCTGTCTGTCTGCCAGCATGATACACTATTAAACTCAAAAAATATCCAACGTTTAAACCGGTTCGAAAAATGTCATTTCTTTTTCTCCTGAAGTTAATTTCAACTATCAAGACGAACAGTTTTACAAAATATAATTATAATACCGTGCATTCTCTTGGAGACATTAAAATATAAATAATAAAGATACCAGAGTTTATGCTAGATTACGTACTGTAAGCCTGACCTGACTAGCCTCGTTTTGGTGTTTTTTGCACATTTCAAAGTGCTATCCGCTATAATTTCACTTCCATGGATTGTTTTCAATCTCACTGTTCAGAAAAGTTATTCATTAGCCTGCTAATGTATAATAATGACAAATTGTGGTAGCTATAGTTTTCGAATCGGTCAATCAATAGAAAAATTTGTGAGCCTATACTGGAAATTGTCGAAGGACAAATCGACCCAATTAAACAAAATTTTGATCTTAACTAGCCTAAACAAAAATTTCATCACAGCTTGAAAGAGCATCACAAAATTAGTAAATATTCCAAAGTTTTGTTGCAAAATGTTGTAAAATGCGGATAATATAGCCTTGCGAAGTTTGTAATTTTCAGTCATTTTGTATTACGCACAGAAGTGGTAACCATTTCCCGTTTGTAATCTAAAATGACTGAAAATTGCAAACTTCAAAAAGCTATATTATCTGCATTTTACAACATTTTGCAACGAAACTTTGAAATATTACTAATTTTGTGATGCTCTTTCAAGCTGCGATGAAATTTTTGTCTAGACTTGTTTAGATCAAAATTTTGGTTATTTGGGGAAATGGTCCATTAACGCATGATACGTGAAATAATTTGCTGACAATACACATCAGGGCCGCCGAGAGCTTGGCGGTGGCCCGGGCAAATTTTTTTTAGGGGCCCCCATTTCAAAATTTTTCCGTAAAAAAATTTTTTCGGACAACTTTTTAGGGAAAAAAATTTTCCGGACAAGTACGTTGTAATTGCTTTCTAAGGACTTTACCTCAATTTTTAATACCAAGTTTTGGTACTTTGACAAAAAACAAATATCTTGTCCTTTGCGCGGAAATATTTCACGGCAAAAAAAATGACTGGGACCCAACAAAAAATTTCTAGGTATCCCCAGAACCTGGGCAATTTGTACATTCACCAATTTTATATTCTTTGATCCGACTTGATTTTTGATTTGATCAATTTTTCATCTCATTAGCTACAGATCTTTGCCAAAAAATGGACCTCACATTTGAAATCGTCATGTTCAGCGATGAAAGTATCGGCGTAGACTAATTTGGCGATGAAAATTTCAATTTTGGGGTCCATTTTAGCAAAATATAAAGATGAAAAATCGTTGAATTATGTGCATGGGGTTCATGTGGGCTGTACCTTTGTCGTGATTAAGTCATTTACGTTGTATAGCTATGGTGGCTGGGTATCGAGTCAGACTCCATCATCTCATTCTGAAATGAAAGTTCGTGTGACTTTTACAGGCATCCTCCTTATCCTCGTGTTTTGTTGTATTTCTGGGACAGCAGGCGTGTACACAGGTAACGTTGCTTGTTAGTATAGGTAATCATGCGATGGCGAGTACAATTAGGGATTAATAGTACAAGTGATGTTTCGAAATTTTGCCAGCACGAAAGGCTTAGAAAGTTATTGATAACCTAAATTTGTACCCTTATGATGTAATATATAGTAAACGAGAAAGCATTTATTACCAGCGGCAGCGTATAAACAATCGAAATTTTTTCACATACTTTGAAGTCTTTGTACTTTGTACCGGTAATAAACTTCTCAAACGAGTATAGGAATTATAGGTAATCGCATAGGGCTGAGTAAAATTAAGGTTTAATTTCACGCGTGTTTTCGAAATTTCACAATTTGTGAAACTTTCAAAGCACAAGTGAAATTAAACCTTTATTTTACGAGGAACTATGCGATTACTTGTTAATCGTGGAGGGCAAAATTTATTCGCTTAGGACATTGTGAACTTGTGAAGTTCTTGAACCTCATATGTCTCCATATCTTCGTCGATGTTCCTTAATGCTGCCAATTTCTTAAATAATTTGTACTTTTTCTAGTGCTCGAGTTTATACTAGAAGTTTTTAATTCTTCAATAACATCATCCGCAACGACAAAGCGTGAAACTATTGTTTTTATTGCTATTTACACTAGAAAAGAAGAAACTAGTTCCCGCGCTTGCGTACCAGCCAATCAGGTACAAGTGATTTTGTCCTGAATTAAGAAAAATGCCCTCATCCTTAGCCAATCATATTTGAGTAATTTTGCCGTATGATTAGAAGATAAATACAAGGCAATAATGGACCATTCCCCAATTAACCAAAATTTTGATCTCAAACAAGTTTAGACAAAATTCCATCATAGCATGAAAGAGCATCACAAAATTAGTAATATTCCAATGTTTCGTTGCGAAATGTTGTAAAATGCGGATAATATAGCCTTGCGAAATTTACAATTTTCAGTCATTTTAGATTACAAATGGGAAATGGTTACCACTTTTCCAAAATTTTGATCTTAACTAGCCTAAACAAAAATTTCATCACAGCTTGAAAGAGCATCACAAAATTAGTAATATTCCAAAGTTTTGTTGCAAAATGTTGTAAAATGCGGAATTATATAGCCTTGCGACGTGTGTAATTTCCAGTCATTTTGTATTACGCACAGAAGTGGTAACCATTTCCCGTTTGTAATCTAAAATGACTGAAAATTGCAAACTTCGCAAGGCTATATTATCCACATTTTACAACATTTTGCAACGAAACTTTGGAATATTACTAATTTTGTGATGCTCTTTCAAGCTGTGATGAAATGTTTGTCTGGACTTGTTGAGTTCAAAATTTTGGTTAATTGGGGAATGGTCCATTGGGTTAATTTATGGGCGTTCAAGACAGCGTGGTATCAAGACAACGACACGGTGCTGGTTTCATTTGTATTTTTCATGAATTATTAATGATTTGAGAAGTAATAATTGAACACTTTCATCCGTACTTGACTGTTATACTTGAGTTGGTGCAAATGTAAGACTCAAGGTGTGCTTATAGTTTTTAAGATCGAGTACATATAAGGTACATTAAAAGATCTGTTACTTGATAATTGTATTTAAAAGTAATTTTGCGGATTCAATCTTTTCTTTCTAGAATACATTCTTAAAAAACAAGCGAAGGTAAACATCTTTATACATTTATATTAACCAAATTCCCAGTTCCAGTGTATATTCCTTAGGGACCGGTCATTATTTATGGCGGGGGGTGGCACCGAAGAGAAAATGGTTGGGTAAACAAAATTTTGAGTAAGTAGAAGGTTGGGTAAATGAAAAACAAAACAACTCAAGGGTTGGGTAATAAAAAGTTATAGCCATATGTCAATAAAATATGTGAATCAATCATAGTCATTGTCTTGATCATTTTCCGATTTGTTAGGAGACAAGTGGTATCTCCAAAGAAAGTACATGACTGTGCAGACAACATGAAATTTTAAACTGCAGAAAATTTCACAATCCGTTATCAAACTCATGTCACAGAAATGGTAAAGGATATATGTGACAACTGAATGGTAACCTTTTGTAAAGTTTTTGGCCAGGGGTGGGTATTTATTTTTTATTTGATATTTGAGGTTGGGTAATCAAATTTTTGACTTTTTAATGGTTGGGTCAGCAAAATATTTGCCACGAAAAACATTTCTCTTCGGTGCCACCCCCCGCCATAAATAATGACCGGTCCCTTATTCATTTTTTTGCGGCTTTACGTAGTACATCTCTTCTTCTATATAGTTGCCATTTGCAGTTCAGAGCATCATGCTGTATGTCTTCGGTGTTGGAATGAACTTCTTTGCATTTTTTACATCACAACTTTTCAAAACTTCTGATGAAAAATTTGGTAAGATAAATGCACCATATAGTTGTAAATTAACGCATTAAGATCAGGGGCCAGTTGTTCAAAGCTGCATGGATTAGCACAGAAGGTTTAAATTTAACCAGCTGTTTTGGTTTGTGTATTTCTGCACGTCTGACTAGAATTTTTTCAGGGATTTTTTAGGGCCGTAAAACGGCTCCAAAAACTCAATCTTGAATTGAGTTTTGGAACTCAATCCTCTCACCAAAGTTTCAGTGCAGTAAAAATGAAGTTGTTTGAGTTAAATTCGTGACATGTGGAAATTAGTTTTCAAATGGAAACCCGACAATTAAGAAAAAATGGCTGGAATTCATCTCACAACACAAGAAAAACTGTGCATTCGCCATCCTTAACTAGTTTATAGTGCCCCTGCTTTAACACATTCCGTCTCAACTACATTTATTGAGAACAAGTGTCAGCCCCCCGGTAGGGGGGGGGATGCAGCCACCCCAGCTGTTCAGCTAAACTCAATCTTCTGTGCAAAAACGGACCCAAGAGAAAATCCTGAAAAAACCTTTCTTTGGATTAAGCTAGCCGTCCTTTCAAGAACCTCGATATGGCAAGTTGTGTTGCCATAACTTAATTCTACACTAAATTATTTGCTTGTTTATGGTATTCTGTTTTTAATTTTCTGTTAATGAATCAGCTGGATCATTACCGACAAGATTGGTGACATACATTTGTTTGTTCAAATAGATTTTAAAGGTGGTGGAGATCTATTTGAAGGGTTTTCAATATGGACTGCAGTTATCATAGGTTCTCAGGTATGTATCATTATATATCAGGATTATAAACGTTGTTTACATTTTTATTCTAAATTTTGCACATCTGTTATCGTGCTTGACATAACATGATGTTAAAGATTTTTCGTATGTTCTGTCAAGCGAGATGCCTAAAATTTAGAATAATTTACAGCACTACAGTAACTGCATTCCTGGGTAAAAGTCTTGGGACACCTTGGGACACCAACCTTTCCACCTCATTGTTCTCCATGCCACTCCCTCATGATCCATTGTCTTTTCATTGTTTTGAAAATTCCATTGTTCTCCTTGCTATCCACTCTTGATTCAATGATCGGAATGATCCATTGTTTTTTCATTGTTGTGAAAATTCCATTGTTCTCCATGCCATCCACTCATGATTCAGCGATCGAAATGTTCCATTGTCTTTTCGTTGTTATGAAAATCTCATTGTCCTCCATGCCAACCACTCATGATTCAGCGATCGAAATGTTCTATTGTCTTTTCATTATTTTGAAAACCCCATTGTTCCCCATGCCATCCAGTCACGATCAAGCGATCGGAACGTTCTATTGTCTTTTCATTGTTTTGAAAATCCCATTGTTCTCCTTGCCATCCACTCATGATTCAGTAATCGAAGTGTTCTATTGTCTTTTCATTGTTTTGAAAACCACATTGTTCTCCATGCCATCCAATCATGATCCGGTGATCGGAATGTTCCATTGTTTTTTCATTGTTTTGGAAATCCAATTGTTCTCCATGCCATCCACTCATGATTCAGCGATCGGAATGTTCTATTGTCTTTTCATTGTTTTAAAAATCCCACTATTCTCCATGCCAATCCACTCACGATTCAGTGATCGAAATGTTCCATTGTCTTTTCATTGTTCATAGTCATTTCTCGGTATAAATAACTTTACAAATTTCATTAATAATTCACGAGGAAAATACAAAAGAAATTAATGTTTAATCAATGTTTGTAAATCAGATAAAGATTTGTCCTGATTTACATAAACTTCAGCTTTGATTTTCCCGGCTTAGACAATGTTTATTTTTAAAATTACTTCGCCAATGAACTCATAAGATGCGTCACATTCGCATCCGATCTGTATCTGATATACAAACTCTCGCCTTCGGCTCGAGTTTGTATATCAGATACAGATCGGCTGCTCATATTTTATCTAGTACATACTGTATGCTTTCATATATTCTTTCTTCAGGCACTAAGTGGCATTATTAATGGAGCAATAATGAAACAAGCAAGCAGTTTGACAAGACTGGTCATGATCGCAGGAGCTATGCTAGTAAGCACGACTTTTTCCGTAATTATATTTAGTCTTCAATTTAATGACTATTTTATAACTGCTTTTATTTTAGTTATTTTAGCCATGGGTATTTACCATAGACCTGAACGATAGTTTAATATGTATATCATGGACAGTTTGAATTTTTTCCGTTTTACTGACACCTCGTATAGTTAATTTTAATATAAATTATTTTAATAGAAAATCTATACTAAAAACGTAGCCATTTTTGTCACTTGTAAATGTTTGGGTTTTTTTATTATTTTCTGCTAGAAATGGCTGTATCTTATAGTCAATCAAATTTGCACTGTATTTCATCGTTTGGCACTGTATTTCATTTTTGGCGCTGTATTTCATCGTTTGGCACTGTATTTCATTTTTGGCACTGTATTTCGAAAAAATCGCACTGCTGTTAGCCAATCAGAATTGAGAAATGTTTTCATGTATATTATTAAAGCCTTAATATTGTGACCATTTTTCGCCACTTTCTTAATTTTTGAGAAAGCGGAGAAAAATGGCAAAAAAGTATAGACTAACCCCTTAATGTTTACTCCATTTTTAGCCACTTTTTTAAAAATGGAAAAATGGCTAACAACCGACGAAAGGTTACGGGGTTGGCCTTTAGGCCACTCCAAAGTAGACTTTAGTTTCCCGTCCGGTCCTTAGCTATTTCACTCTTATCACAAAGGTCAAATAACGGAAACGAGTTATAGCAATAATGGACAAATCATGCGGCCAGTTCTCGGAGACGCGGGCGGAGGACGGGAAACTAAAGTCTAATTTGGAGTGGCTTTACCTTTTTGCAATTTCTGCAAAAAGGGGCTATTTTTGCCATTTCCGCTCATTTTTTGAATATGAAAAATTTCCCGAAAATGGTTAACCTTTACTTTTTTGCCCATTTTTCAATAATGAAAAGAGGAGCTAAAAAGAACATAAAGTTACGGGGTTAGCCTTTACTTTTTCCTATTTTCTGACCTTTTTTTTAAATGAAAAAGTGGCTAAAAATGCAACTCGTTACCCATTGCACATGACGTCACAGCGCCGGTGATGATGCATCTGGAGGACAAATTAGCAATCTATGCACAATATAACTTTTGTAAGCAAAGCAAATTTTGTAAAACCTTATAATAATTTTGTATTAAAATGGTTAATTTTTGTGCTGTAGGTGGTTATTGTACCCGAACAGATATTGTTTGGGAGCATCTGGAGGACACTCTAAGGATTTGTGACGTCAGTGCAATGGGTCAAAAGCCTTAATTACTTTTTCCCATTTTTTGCCCCTTTTTCAAAAATGAAAAAATTGGCTAAAAATGGACGAAAAGTTACGGCTATAGCCTTAACTTCTCGTCCATTTTATTCACTTTTTAATTTTTGAAAAAGGGGCAAAAAAATTACATAAAAGTAAGGCTGTAGCCTTACTTTTTCGTCCATTTTTAGCCGATTTTTTCATTTTTGAAAGAGGCAAAAAGTAAGGCTATAGCCTTAACTGTTCGTCCATTTTTAGCCGATTTTTCAATTTTTGAAAAAGGGGAAAAAAATTGCAAAAAAGTAAGGTTATATAGCCTTACCGTTCCTTCCATTTTTAGACAATTTTTTCATTTTTGAAAAAGGTGCAAAAAAGTAAGGCTATAGCCTTAACTTTTCGTCCTTTTTTAGCCACTTTTTCATTTTTTGATAGAATATCCCTGACCAGTGACCAGCTGTTTCGATCACCTATGTTCGAACTGAATTTGTGTCCAAAGCCATGGGGGGAGAGTGGGGCGCAACCTCCCTTCCTCAATAGTGAACGCCTCTCTTTTATATTAAGCCTGGAGGACAAGTAGCCAAGCAAATATACGTATTCACTTAAAACTGTGTTAAAAACATATAAAAATGTGCATAACGTTCGCCTCACTTTGCTTTCTAGCACTTTATTGTGTCGCATGGTTACAGTACGTCATTGTATCGTCATATAATTTCATATAGTACTGATAATGGTAGTCATAGTATAATATTCTACTATATGACAATACAATGATGTAACCATGCGAGTCTACATAATGAGCTACACAGTTATCGCCAATATCGCTAGATAGAAAAATCAGGCGGAACGTTACCATTTTAAGTTATTAACACATTTTTAACTGAATACATATGTTTCCTGGGCTGCCCTATGCCTGGAGGGCCCATTCTCTTTAAAAAGGGGTCCAAAATTTTGAGTTTGCGCCCCCCCCCCCAAACCAGATATCGCCCGCTACGTACCTGGAAGAAGCTAGTTTTGTTGGTATGATTTTTTTTTTTGAAAATTTGAGCGGCCGTAGTGTTCGAGCCAGAACAATTTTAGTTACACGAAGTAAGTCCTGAACGTAAAAAACAGACTGACATCCAGTGTTTTATACAGCTCAGTGGGACAGACAACTTCGGATTTTCTCGATGTTCGCCCGAAGACTCGAAGAGCATATTTTTATAAATTATGAAATATAAAGTTTGTTCGTTCACTGCAACCAGGTATATCAATCATGTTTCTTTCGCTACTCTGGTTTAAATAAATGATTACAAAGCCCAGTCGAATTGTAATCAAGACCCATTACGATTCGACTGGGCTTTGTAATCATTTATTTAAACCAGAGTTTATACGGGAACCACTGAGTATTTTGATAAATACAAAACAATAGATACTCCGAAAATTGAAAGCATTTTGAAAAATTTATTTCGACGTTTCGACTAAACTATAGTCATCATCAGGAAATGAATGATGATGATATTACATATGTACAAGTATATATAGTGAAGGATAATACTTATATATCTTGTTACTATATCTTGTTACTTGATTATATCTTGTTACTTCACTATATATACTTGTACATATGTAATATCCCATTCATTTCCTGATGATGACTGTAGTTTAGCCGAAACGTCGAAATAAATTTTTCAAAATGCTTTACTATCTATTGGTATGTATTTTAAACCAGAGTAGCGAGCGAAACATGAAATTATGAAATGTCTGAAATTTATAAAACATTTAATATGAAATACTGAGTTCATTAATAGCGGGCAAAATGATTAGCGGGCAAAAATTGTTGTGTAACAATCGTTGTTGGGTCGAACAATATATGGAAAGCGAAAATAGCGAAGGTACTGACTACTGAGAGATTAAAACTGGATTTAGTTCATAGACCAGACCTTCGTAATAGTGCGTGTATTTTTTAAGTATTTTACCACCCTGTGACGTCAGTTTCATACGGGACTTCCGGCTTCACCACAGAGTTTTTGGCGGGAAAATTTGTAATGTTTGGAGAAGACAAGATGGCGTCCGTTACTTCGTGTCATCAAAGGGCATTTTTGTTCACCAGTACCCGCTTATTTTACGTTAAAGCGACTGGTTAGTTTTGGAAATTATAACTCAACGGACAGGGAAAACGATTCTGTAGTAAAGAGCAAAAATAAGTGCAGTTATCGACTTTATATTGTGATGTTCAATGGTATTTGTTGTGAAAGTCGACGGCCGGAAATTTCGCAACATCGCTGTACTGGTTTATAACAAATAGAATGAAATGAACAGCCTGTCTTAATGGTAAGTTTTTTAAGTGTTTTCACTTTTCTTTAATATTTTTAAGTTTAATTATTAAAGATGCTGATTAAAGATTAAAGTCCGTATTAATGTAAACAAACGTTTTGTTTTATACATTTTGAACTGCTATATTTGTAAAATATGATATACGAACTGAATATGTGACACTTTTCTGGTTCGCTATGCTTGTAAATCAATATAAACTAGACGTTTCAATTCAAAAAAGTTCGAAAGATGGAAAATTTGGGCAATGTTTATATCTGCGGGTCCCCCTTTGTTATGAGCAGAACTGATGCGCAGAACGCCAGAACGGACCTTTATTAGAGGGTGGGAAAGGGTATTTTCGTGAGCCGTGAATGGTGAATATTTGTTAGTGTGAAATGTGAAATGCTTGATTTTAGTGTCGTGAAATTTGATTTGTTCTACAGCCGTGAGGCTACCCTGGTTGCCAGAGGTTCTGCATCTTTCGCCTTATTCTCGCTCGTATTTATTTTACGCGAGGCGAAGAGAACCTCTGGTGACACGCGATACAAATCTCCATGGGCGTACCTGAAGGAAAAAATTGGGGGGGCGGAAAGAAAATTGCCCGACTTTTCGAATTCTGCCCGACTAGTATCAAAAAAATTTTTCCGGAAAAATTATCCTGGCGACCTCCCCCCCCCCCCCCCCCCCCCCCACGTCGCCAAAAATATTTCGGTCAGTGTACCATTTTAGGGGTCAAAAAATTTTTCCAGACAACCAATTTTTTTCGGAACATAACACAAATTTTCGAAAAATCGCAAAATTTCCCAAAAATTGACTTAATTTTAGACAAAATTGACAGAATTTGTCCCATTTTTTTTATTGCAAGCCAAAATTGCCCGACTGTTGATCGAATTATTGCCCGACTGCCCAAAAAACTGGGGGGCTACCGCCCCCCCCCCCCCCCCCCCCCCCCCCCCCCCCCCCCCCCCCCCC